GTTGTATAAGTTCTTTATATATTTTGGATATTAACCCCTTATCAGATATGTCACTTGCAAGTATCTTCTCCCATTTGGTTGGTTGTCTTTTCATTTTTTAAATGGTTTCCTTTGCTGTGCAGGAGCGTTTTCGTTTGGTGTAGTTCCATTTGTTTGTTTTTGCCTTTGCTTCCTTTGCCTGAGGTGAGATATCCAGAAAGATATTGCTAAGACCGATGTCAAAGTGTGTCCTGTTTATGTTTTCTTCTAGGGGTTTTACGGTTTCATGTCTTACATCCAAGTCTTTAATCCATTTTGAGTTGATTTTTATATATAATGTAAATAGTGGTCTAGTTTCACTTTTTTTTGCATGTAGCTGTCCAGTGTTCCAACACCCTTTATTGGAGAGACTATCCTTTCTTCGTGTTATGCTGTTCGCTCTTGTGTCATAAATGAACTGTTCATATATGTGTGGGTTTATTTCTGAGCTCTTAATTCTGTTCTGTTAATTTCTGTGTCTATTTTTCTGACAATACCATGATAGCTCATTTCTTTTTAGTGCTGAGTAATATTCCATTGTTTGGATAAATAAAGTTTATTCATCTTACTATTTATTTATTATCATCTACTAAAGGCCTTAGACTTTTCATTCATGTGTCAAGTATCAGAACTCAAAGCTCTCAAACTCCAAGGATATATATCAAACTTTCTGAATGGTTCTATTAAGGCTGCCCTAACTTAATATGTTGAGGAAGTGTGGTAGGCAGAATAATGGCCACAAAGATGTCCACCTCTTAATCCCAGAACCTGGAAGTACATTAAATTATATGCCACAGTGGAATTAAGGTTGCTAATCCAATGGCTTTAAGATAGGGAAATTATCCCGGATTATCTGGCTGGGTCCAACGTAAGAGATCTTAAAAGTGGAAGCAGGAGGCAGAAGACTCAGTGTCAAAGTAATGGGATGTGATAAAAACTCAATCTGCAGATGCTGGCTTTAAGCCAAGCAGTGTGGGTGTTGAGAAGGGGGCGTAGTTTCCCAAAAGAAAGGGGACTCTTGGTATCAGGAATGGAGATGAGAAGAATGCTGGGGAAAAGTTGCAGTAGCTGTCCCTTTTGATATATATACACAATTATAGTCGGTTACAGCTATGGATATAGATTTAAATGTATATGCATACACATGTGGACAGCTAAGAAGAATGAAGCATGTGTACAGCTGTTTTTTTTCTGTATGTTAGATAATTTTTTTTCTTTTCACTTACCTGGAATTTTTCTGTAAGGAATATCATTAACAAAGAAATAAAAGATGCCAAAAGAAACTATGCATGCCTTTCCCAAGAGCCCTTTGTTACTTCCCTGCTGCGAATTTGCCCTTCCCACTAAGGCCCCGGGAAAGAAGGACTCTTTGATCTGGATGGTTCAGAGCAGCCTCCCCTTCCTGGAACACAGCGATCCTTCCATGCGGCCAGGACGCTCACTCATATCCGCACCACACGATTTACGATGGCACCAGACCGAACGGTCTGTTGACTGAGGTTCCCCCTGTTGTCACGGTGCCAGAGAAACACTGGCTTCCCACAATGTCCGAAAAAAGAAGAACTCATTTGCAGGGTCAGGGGAGAGCTGGGGAGGCCCCCTGCTGTGTCCTCCATCCTTCACAGGCTTGGGAGAGTCTTCCCTTCTCCCTAGGGTTAGCATGCCATGTTTCCCCAAAAGGAACACTATTTCTGCGGGCAGCCTCCATGACTGTCTTTCTCCTTGTGTCTGGGGCAGAGCAGGCATTCCAGAGAAATGGATGGATGAATGGTCCCACCTGCTATTCCTTTCTTTTTGGTTTCTCTGCCGTATCCTCTGCTTGCAGGTCACACATCCAGAGGGTGGCATGGAATCCGTCAGTTATCTAGGGTCTGCTGGTCAAATCCTGCATCACATCATACACAGGAGTCCCCTATGAAGCCTGTGGATCAGCCTGACAGCTGTAGTTGCCGTCCCCTTTCTCATTTCACAGTCATTCTCCCTTCCCGTCCATCCCTCCCGTCCTCCCTACCCCTTCTCCCTGGTTTGCTGTCTACTCTAGTTTCCATTTCCAAGCCTTGAACGGAGGGACTCGAATCACCACTCCTAGGAGATGACATTTCAAACAGCCTGGGTCTCTTTTCCATTCCCATTGATTGTGTTCGTGGTTCACCTCCAAGCAGGAGAGCCCCAACCAGAAAGGAGAAAGTGGCCAAACTGCCTCCTTCTTCCTCTTTTACCCAGAGGGGGGCTTAGAACCCCAGGAGCATGGCAAGTGGGGAAACAGAAAAATGAGCACTACCCTTCCTTTTCCTCATCACAGCAGTGATTTTCGACCGCTCTAAACTTGGCCCCAATTTCCTCCCCTGTTTGGAAGAGCTGGCATCTCCTGAGTGTCCAGGAGAGCTGCCCACCTTCCTGGCTGGAAAGCGTGGCTGAGGCACCCACATCCCACTGGGTCTTTCCTCCTCCCAGCCTGTCAGGCCGGGGGCCAGATGGGGCACCAGAGGGGTACATGGGAGACGGCTCAGGAGCTACCTGTAGATGAGCATGGCCAGAGGACAACGGCTCATGACTCACATCTTCTCTGCGAAGAGGGAAGCGAAACCCCTCCTGGCCGGGACTTTTACACAAACCATCTCTGAAACCCCAGGGGCCTGCAGGATTCTGGCTGCTTCTTGCTGAGCTTCCTCCAGCTGGATCAGCCTTTGGTCCAGCGATCAGCAGGGTATCTACCTCCCACTCAGAGTAAATGCCTCCCAAGCCCAGCCCCAGCTTGGTGAGGCTTCCGGGCCCTTTCATGAGACCACTGGGAGGGCACGTGGGCGTTCCACCAACATCTCATGCTGCACACCAGCAGAAGTTTGGGGAGAGGCAACTTCCAACAGAGACGGAAGGGGTCAGACAATCCCGTGTGTTATGTGGTAGCTGTTCTCCCTCAAATGACCCTGGAGGAGACCAGGACCCCCAAGAGCTCTTTCTATCAGGGTTTTGAGGAACTTGGATTCTTTCCCAGCCTAGGCCCTGGGATGTGGGTGTGGGGCTGGGAGCCTGGAGCAGAAGGGCTGAGATGACTCTGGGATTCGACTGGGTACCAAGCATCTTTCATCCATCCATCCATCTTCCATCCACCCGTTCACCCATGCATCCATCCATCCATCCATCTTCCATCCATCCATCAGTTCATCCATCCATCCATTCATCTGTCTCCCAACAATCCATCTTCCAGCCATCTATATATCCAGTCATCTATCTATCCACCCAATTATCTGGACTGACTTCCTTCCTTTTCTCCTTCCCTCTCTCTCTTCCTGTCTCTCTTCCCTCCTCTTTCCTATCTTCCAAGAAATATTTGTTTAGAATCTGGTATGTAGCATATTTCTCAGATTTAGTAGACTTCATCTTTTCATGCTTCTTTAAAGCATGAGAAGTTGCCCACTGAGCTCCAAATCAGCTCCCCTCTGCCCTAAGCCTCTCCCTTGAATGAAGGAACATTCGTGTTGTGAGTTGCTGAGACTCCCCACTCTGTTTGAGATGCTCATGGTGCAGGAAGCAGAGAGGAGAACCCAAATCTTACATTTCTGTTTTGAATCTCCAAGCCCTATTTTATAAGGGGATACAGTATCATCTAAGATGCCTTAATAACAGAGAGTGGAATATTTTATTGCAGTGGTCTCCTTACTGGTCACCCTACTTCCAGGCTCTCCACACCCTAATCTGTGCTCCTCACTGTGATCAGAGTGACCTGTCTTCAATATTCCTGTCCTTGTCTCTCTCCTGCCTGAAGTGTTTCACTGGCTCCATGTCACTCACAGACCAGAGTTCAAGCTCCTTAACGTGACCCAAGAGGATCTTTATGATCTGACCCCAGATGCCTCCTTAGCTCACACCCTCCCCGCTCCTGTCATATACTATATCCTCCAACAGCACCAAAAACCTTACGATTAGCCAGAAGCACCATGCTATCTTCTGCCCCTATGTTTTGACTATGCTGATCCCTCAACCCGGAAATTTTTAAAA